AGCATTGTACACAGCTAAGTAAGATGTTAGATTCACAGATTATACATGCAGTTACCCAACTAAAGGATGGTAACACGTAGTAGTTACTGTTTATTGTTACTGGCTTTTTGCCGGCTTCCATCATGCAAAGTGCAATAGAGCATGAACTGGTAAACAAGTAACAGGCAGAAAAGTACAGGTGACTAATAACTTGGGAAAGTAGGGTAGCCTTGTGATTGCAGCATTGGCCTAGAAATCAAGAGATAAGAATTTAATCCCGTGTCTGCCAAAAACCATTTCTCTGTGCCTTATTTCCCTGTATCTAAAACGAGAATAATAGTAATTTTTTCTTCCTGCCTTTCTCTCCTGTCTAGTTTGTCAGATAATAGGGCCTTGATTTCAGTTCAGATATTTTTCTTAGAAAGCTGGAATTATTCTGTGTCCATAATTTAGTTTTAAATTATATATTGCAAGTAGTTTTCTAAAGTACATTTTCCTTGTAAGTGGTCTACTCTTGTCTTAAATAATAGGATTATTTTGTGAGCTATAGCATAGTGTTACAGTTCTCAACAACTAGGCTATGTCTACACTTGTGGCTTCTTGTGCAAGAACATCTTGCGCAAGGGTTCTTGTGTAAGAAGTCTTGCGCAAGAAAATGTCCACACTGCCATGTGCGAGCTGTGCTTTTGTGCAAGAGCGCTCATGGCAGTGTGGACGCTCTCTTGCACAAGAAAGCTCTGATGGCCATTTTAGCCAAAGGGCTTTGTTGCACAAGAAATCTCTGCTGAGCATCCACACTGCCCGCTTGTGCAAGAGCTCCTGCGCAAGAGGGCTTACACCTGTTAAAAAAGAGTGTAGCTCTTGCGCAAGAAGCCCTCTATTACCACGCTGTACTGTAAATTTCCTTGCACAAGAGCGGGCGGGCAGTGTGGACGCTCTGCAGATTCTTGCGCAAGAACGGCCGTACTTGCACAAGAAGCTGCGAGTGTAGACATAGCCCTAGTGTTGCTATTGTGAATGGATGGCATTGTGCAGAAGAAAATATCACTTTCTGTATTTGGAAATATTTCCCTGAATGCAGGAATTTGGATTTGTATTAAACCGCATGCTGCAAGTATAACACACTGGCTATGTTGTGTCCCTCCCTAATGGCTGCTGTACGTAGAGGATGTGTCTACTTCTCCTCTACCAGTTGAATGAGTAAAGCTGGTAGTTGGTAGCTGTAATAGGCATTTACTGGTCTAGATACAAGCCTATCTGTAGTACCAGCAAATGGCATTACATGTTTAGCTAATGTGGAAGGGGCCTGGCTTTTGGTATTGATGCTCCAGATTCAATCTATACGAATGGCTCAAAGTAAGGATTTTTACTAGGGATCAGGGCTGGCCTGAGCCATTTTGGCACCCCGGGCGGGCAGCGCCGCCCTGGGAGCACGGCGCATACGCGAGCCTGCCTCCCCCCCCCCAGGGTGCATGGGCCCACCTCCAGGCGCACGGCACATGTGCAGGCCTGCCCCTGGGGTGTGCAGGTGGGTGCACGGCGCATGCGGTGCCCGGCTACCGCCGCTGGCGCGCAGCCCAGGGCCGCCCAGGTGGGCCACACTTGGCCGTGCAGGGCCCTGCAGCCGGGGAGGGAAGGGCACTGAGGGGGTTAACGCAGCCCCCTCCCCGGGTGGCCACTGCAGCCCACCGGGAGCGCGCCTAATGGCAGCTATAAGGGGCACCGTGCGCCCCTTACAGTTGCCATCAGGCGCCCCCCATCGGTTGGTGCCCCAGGCAGCTGCCTGGCTCACCCAACTCTTAGTCCGGCCCTGCTAGGCTTGTTAGAATTTCACAATTAATCAGTTACCTGACAAGCTGATGCTTATCGGTTAAATTCTGCCCAGCTGGAGAATCAGCAGCTCCTCCCACCCCCAGCTGTGGGCTCTGCAGTTTAAATAGGAGCTGGCAGGCTTTGTCCTAGTACGTGCCAGGTCCTGAAAGCTGGTCCTGCTCTCCAGCAGCTGACTGCCTCCGCTGTGGGCTCTGCAGTTTACGAGCCGGAAGGCTCTGTCCCACCACATGCCAGGACCCAGCAGCTGACTCCATGAGAGAGGGGCCACAAGTAGGGTTACCAGGTAGTCATAAAAAAAATACCAGAGACACCGGGGAGGAACCAGCCAGGAGGGTCCTGCGCCCAGGCCCGGCGCCGTACC